TCTCCAACGATCAGCTCCAGATACGAAGAAACGCTGGTTGTTTCCAATCCCTTTCCATCGTAGTATCTGTCCTGTTTGGCCCGGATCGTGGTAGGAAAACCCGGCTCCTCGCTTTTCCTCGACTCGTTATTCACCGTTTCCTTATTTACAAGCGGTTTCTTCGACAAAATTATCTGGATTCCGTTCCGCGTGTCGTACAAAGTTCCGAATTCGATTGTCTCGTTGCCAGGTATACACGAATGAGACACGTTTGGTTTCCGATGGAATGGAGCCTCGCCCCTTGTTGGCTGGCCTCGTGCCACCGAATTGTCCTCCGTATCCATGCACCCGCTTTCGCTCTGAAACCTGTTGCAAGATTTGTTTGCAGCGGCTTCGTAGTTTGACTTGGCCTTGCCGCTGCAACTTTCCGTCGGCTGCCTCGAATCGGACAAATGATGTCTCTCGAACGTCGAATTGCACGAACAACAGAAACCCTGCAACCGGATTATCCGTGATCATCCTCGATAAACAGAGGGATAAAAACATTATCGATAATGTTTTACGTGAATAAACCAGGGAGGAATCAAAGTAAAATACCCAAGTTTTCTTTTTTTTTTTTTTTCTATATATATAAATAAGAGTTCTTCTCGGATTTCTGAATTTATCGAATCGTGAATTATTAACGTATATAAAACTGATTATATCTTATTTAAATTGACATGAATAAATGTAGAAATAAATCTTCAAACAATTGACGATAATAATCTCTTAAAAACAGGAAAAAGAAATCCTCGTCAAGCGTATTCATTACGGTATTGTCATTTCGCGCGTGTAAAATCGATCAGAGATTATTTTATTCGAAATAAAATAGGAATCGTGCGAAACTAATTTTCTGCTAATCTATTTCCAACGTGTAATTCCCCTATAAAAGTGCGATTGGAGAATGGAAATCGCTGAAAGACAAAGATTATTGCGATTCGTTGGAAAGTGAGAAATAGCTTTTGCCAGTTTTACCTCGCTGAACGGAACAGGTTTCCCGTGTATGAAGGATCGGCCGCAAGTGGGATGCTCGGTAACGCTGCATCCCGTAAAATTCGGGCTCCGGTTGTTAATCACCTCTTCCCTCGCCTCTGCGTTAACAACCTTGTTCAAAGCCGCGCGATCAATAAGATTGCCCGCGAGATCTCGTCGACCGCTCTGCTAGCAGTAGTAGTGATACTAGTACCAACGAATGGTAAAAAAGGACAGACCAAATTTGGACGAAATATCACTTATCGCGATCCGATAAAGGATCGAGAGAAATTTTTGTCGCGGATCTAACGGTAACCGATCAGCAGAGCCGTCGACGCCGACTGATGATGATGAAAGTGATCTGATTTTTTTATCTCTCGTGAGATAAGATTTTTTCTTTTTTTTTTTTTCTCTCTTTCGAGAAAGATTTTTCCTCGCCTCTCGTATGAGATACTCACACTTTGAAATTTCAACCCATAAAACTGCAGTATAGTATCTTGGCGAACTTTGATCACGTAGGGATTTTGGAGCGGGATCTTTTCCATCGTGAACGGGTCCAGCACGTGATCGATCACTACGAATTTCTCCTCGATCTCGGTCTGGCAATACCATTTTTTTATACCTCGTTATTCGCGCGAATATACGAAAAAAGAAAGAAAGAGAAAAAGAAAAGGAAGGGGGGGAAAAAAAATAATAAACGATAATAATCGTAGGAATCTGTAATCAGAACCTTGCCGATATTGTTGAACCTCATGCTGATAATGATCTTCCGCGTGCAGTTTCTCATCGTCACTGGATTCTGTTCCTCGTCGTGTCTACGTTTTCGACGAACGTGAACACCTTGCCTCGTTCTACGCGGATCGAATACGAATAATCAGATATATGTCTCTCCCTCGAGAGAGAGAGAGAGATAAATATCGAGGCTTACTTCTCGTTTCCAAGCAGGGGGCAGTGTGAGAGCACAGCCCTGATCTCGATCAACGGTCGATCCCATTCGTCCGAGTCTTCTCTGATTTGCCTGTCACTGATGAACCGGGACGGGCAATCGGGATTTCTGGAGGGGTGAAGCTGAGGAACGTACTCGAATTCCGACACGTATGGTGTACGTGTCGCGCTCATTCTGCCATAAGAGACGAGTGTCATCTGCGCATAGATGGGTGAACGACATGAGCGTGAACAAGATCGATTACACGTAGCGAAAGGATTTCGCGTGATTTTTCGTTTCGGATGAATTCTCGGTCGGGAGTATCCGTTTCCTTTTTTCCTCCCTTACCCAGAGGATCAGGAGATGCGAGATAGCCGGTGACATGTTAGGTCATCTGTCATGGAACTCATCCTCGGGTACAGGCGTGCGGCCTCGAATTTTCCCTCATGTAAGAAATTTCGTGAATGCGAATTGCGTAGTGAAATAGGATTTATATATTTCGGTTGCCCTCTCGACACTGATACTTTCTGACAGGTTTCGATTATGCTTTTTCTAGGCTATTCTGTGGGGTTAGAAGCAGAGGAACGTCGAGACACTCGTCTGTTTCCTGATCGAACTCGCCGCAAACTTTGAGCCCACTTTGATCTGTATTCAAGTGTTATACACGTTATAATCCTCCATTTTCATTCGATTTTTTTCTAAATCTCCTATTATCGCGAAACTTAACACCGATCATTCTTATTTCGCGTTTCCGGGAGAACGAAACGTTAAATTCTTTGATACAACTTTGAACGCAATTTCATCTGGAAAATCGTTTTCGCGACGGTATATCGTATAATGGGATTCTAAAAATTTTGTTTTTCTTTTTTTAATTTTTCCCATGTCCCGCATCGTTACGAAGTTATATTTGAAAAACAAAAAAGCACTAAAAATTTTATTTCATTTTCTCTGTAAATACGAAATTTAAAAAAAATTTTCATCGAAACCGCTACAATCTCCTCCAATGTAACTTTCATCGATCAAGAAATATATATATATATACACATATATAAACTCTTTGGGAAATTGATACGACGCACACTTGTATATAAACCATATTTATTTGCCATACGAGTTTTCAGCCATTTACATTTACAATTAACGTGACTTTATGCTTTCGATTCGAGCGAGGGATCCGATCCGAGCGCGCCGTTTCGACCCTCCTCCGACGAGATTCTTCGAGTCCTCCTCCCTTATCGAAACATCCTGATAAGATCCAACGATCCAACATCGATCGGAAGGGAAACGAACGCGTCGAACGATCCCTCGAATTGCTTAAGTACCGCTTAAGAATATCACAGATCGCGATTCTTGCGTAAACGCACTAAAATTGTAACAACCTTCCGC